TCGCCGAGTCATAGCTCGCGCGAGGTCGTACGCAGGCTCCTGTACTCGGACCACCCGACAAGCCCGTGCGACGTTGGATCCGAATTACAATGCGCAACTCGACCCTTGGTTTCGAGACGAGTACGGTGTATTGTGGTGGAGCTGAGTAGTTGGCCACCCCACTCTCTAATGAAGAGTCCACAGCAGCAAGAAATAACCTGATTCGAAACGCCCAACTCACATCGTCCCGCAGATCCGAATGATGGTCTCTTTGATTGAGAGCGGGCGAGACTGTATAATCCACACAATCGTATTTGATGCCCCACGCCTTTGACACGGTAAGCACCGTGTTGCTCGACATCGTGCAGCTGCTTCCGGATGTCAGCGACGTAATCGCCTTCGTGTCGGGGCTGCCGCAGCTGCCACCGGCGCTTCAAGCGCTGCTGCAGCTCCATCAGTCGATGGACCTCACGCGCCACTGGCCCTGCTTGCACCTCGAAAACATTGCACCCCGCAACATCGACCTTGGCATCGCCGCGCTGCCAGCTTTTCCGAATGTGTCTCTGGGGCCGGCTACCAATCTCCGTTGGCTGGCGGCGCCACTGCCCCGATCGACGCGCTCTCGGCTGCCGTTGCGGTCGCGCAGTGATACGACGCTGGCGTTTGCGCGGATATGGGGCAACCACGTCCGCCACATATCGATCACAAGGAATGCAGTGTTCTCTGCGCCGATGCACGAAATACTCGATTTGTGCCGATACATTGAGAGCATCGAGCTCCGCTTGTCGAGTCCCGCCAGCGCAGCAGTCTGGGTCTCGGCGTTCACACGACTAGGACTTCCGTTGCGCTCGTTCAGCCTCGACATACCGCCGCACCCGAATGCGCCTTTGACCGACTGCGTGGCATTGGCGCGAGCGATCCTCGCATCGTCGTCGCTAAAGATCCTGATGCTTTGTAATGCCCCCGACGTTGAAGCGGCACTGGGTGCTATCGACGGTGACATGCTCCACGTCACCACCTACTCGATGCCGTCCACCGTACGTGGGGCGCGGCACCCGGCGGTTCTGCACAAGCTGGATCCTGCCAAGGTCATCTGCCTCTCGGTGGCGGGACACGTTGACCTCTCGCGTTTCTGGCCCTTCAATCCCTCTTGGTATGGGACGACATGCTTGAATGCAGCAAGCTTGCTAGTGGGCGATGTCCCGACCTCCGTAGCGTGACCTTGTATCGGGACGTCTCCGACGCGAACATGGCGCGCATCGTGGCCTGGCTCAACACGTCCTGCGTCTTGAAGCGCTTTGACGCGAAGTCCACCGGCACCGTCGGCTTTGAGGTCATTGCGCGTGCGCTGCCGCAATGGATTGCTCGGGGTCTTGAAACCTTCGCGATGGGACGCTACGGCGACTACTTTCGACCAACTCTATTCAGCAAGCACGGACTCTTGCTACTGGCAAGCGCATTGACCACGGAGCGCGACCCCCGAAAGACGCTCAAGGTGACTGTGAATCTTCGCAAACGAGTGCTGGACTTTGAAGAAATGCACGCGCTTCTCGCTGCCGTCGGCGCCTCCACCAACACATGTCTGACGCTGGACTATGTGGAGAGCTATCCTTCCGATGCGTTGATCGAGTTTGCAGCGCTCGCTCGCGTAGAAGCAACGGATCGTAAAGTTGTGATTCAATCGTTGTAACCAGAAATCACGAAGAAGGCTGTGCTCCAGGACGTCTGCGTTAAGAGAGGGTGAGCATCCGAATGAACGCTGTTCTTTGATGCGTCGCTTTCGAGGATAGAGTGCGTGACGAACACTGGAGCATTCATCCCTCACGCGAGGGGGCCCTCCTTGGCAGTCGCCGCCAAGGGCTGAGTGATCGCACAACCACATTCCAGTTCTAGTTCCTGAGAGGATGGGTTGGCGAGGTTGTGACTAAGTCCACTAACTCGGTTGCGATGGACTTTCGCTACTCGCGCAACGTCCCGAGCAAAAGCACGATTGTTTGTGTCTTCCATCGACAAGTCGGTATTGAGCGTGTAAATATATATAAGTACTAGTAACTATTGTCCCTCTACGCGTGGCGCTGACGAAACTCGACAAAGTCGTCGTTGCGCGTGATCGGGTTGAGTTTCAGATGGGCCATGTCGATGCGGTGCGACCGGAACGACGCGCCTTCGTCATGCGACCGGTGAAAGATCGCGCC